CACTTTCAGTATTCTCCTCCAACACCACAATCTCTCTAGTGGCATTGGTCATAACTGGCTAATTGAAAGGCCCACTTACACACATGCCTACTTTAATCTGCCCTAGTGTAGATTACAAGAGGAACTTTGAGTGGTTGGAGAAGTTGTCTTTCCTTCCTTTCACCACCTTTATCAAGCTAACCAGCATCCCCTGGAACATAATAACAGAGGAAGAGTCTGTTGGGTTGACAATGTTGATCCTGTCATAAACTGACTAAAATAATTGTACTAATGGTCACATAACAGATACTTGGAGATACCTTCAATGACTTTGAGAGTTTGGATAAACCCAAGTACATGGGGAGACAGAGATGCTATACTCCAGGCTCAACTACCACATTTGTTCAGTTCTTAATTGGAATCAAAATGTCTCTTCTATTGAGATTTCCACATTTAGAATTGCTATACAAAAGAGACAACTTATTAACAGTGAAGCAAACCTCTACAGTGATCAAAATGCCCAGCTCTTTTCTGGACATTGATTGATGTGAAAAAGTGTACATATTAAAGAGAAAGCAGAAACCAATATCAGTAATGTAAACTTCTGTGAAGATAAAAATTTGTCAAGAGACTTTGGGTTATGCCCAGTGACCTCTGACTTTGGAACCCAGCTTTGCTTCATGACAGGAAGGAGTACAATGGTCCTATGCATCTCCCGTATTCAACCAATGTCTTATCACCAGAGTTAGGTCTGTATAAAATGGATACTTACCTGGTCTGCAAATGCATTTGCCAGGGACAGATATGGAGCAGGGTATGTTGCAAAAATGTGTGCTGTTGCATTTTCTCCAACGATGAGCAATTTTCCATCAGCAAAAGACATAAGTCCATCTATGGAAGACAAAGCATTAGTGTTCTCTGGGTTGGGTGAAGGGAGTCCTATGTGATAAAAGACTGCAGCCAAATGCTCAGGTGCAATATGGCACATCAGTATTGTTTGCTTTTCTCAACTTGTCGTCACACAGTAGGATGGTTGTAGAGCTTCCTCGGGGATCCAAGCCTGGAACTGAGGATGGTCAGTCAAAGGCAGACAACCTTGGCTGCTCTTGATGCTCCAACTCCAAACTCGAACCACATTCAGAGCCAGTGGGTCCTGGGAACTAATCTTCCTTGAGATTGACTTAAAGCCAAAATTCATAATTATCAGAGTGGTCTCATCAACCACTAGTGTCACTTCAGAATTTGAAGATGCATTGGAATTGTAGGATCCTGGTATGATACTGTAAGATAAGCACTGGACTGCTAACCACAAACTTGATGGTTCAAATCCAACCAGCCACTCCTTGAAAACCCTATTCAGGGTCGCTGTAAGTTGAAACCTACTCAACGGCACTTAACAACAACAACAAATGGCCCACAAGGCCACTCTTGCCATTGCTGCTGGCACTCCGGTTTCTGACCTGGCCTTAAATTCCTCTTTAGTTCTCTTAGATTTTAGTTCTTAGAGAGACACTGTGTTCAAGGAGGCTCCTTCCCACAACCGAGTTCTATAAGTTAACAAATTATAGTTGCTAAGGCTTAAGTTTGAGAGTCCAAACATATTGAGACTCAGCTTGGGTCAGTTGGAGGGTCTGCATTAATAGTTGATTTCATGGGACAGAAGGTTTCTTTAATGTGGTGTTGGTGGTGGTTGTGTGCCACTGAGTCAGTTCCAACTCACAACGACCCTGTACAGGGTTTCAGAGGCTGTAAATCTTTACTAGAGCAGAAAGCCTCACTTTTTTCCCAAGGAGTGATTGATAGATTTGAACTGCTGACCTTGCAGTTAGTAGTCCAGCTCGAAACCCACTGCACTACCAGGGTTCCTTTTCTTTAGTATGGGAAGCCTGATAGTCATCTAGTTCAATGCCCTCATTTTCGAGAGAGGGAAACTGATACCAAAATGGTAAGACGACTTATTTAAATCATTCGGCTATTACCGACACAACTGGAACTAAAGTCTAGATGTTCAATTGCCACAGCAGTGTTGATACCCCAGAACTGAAGCCCGACTGCACCATAGAAAAAGAATGAGGGGCCCCACACTTTTCACTGTTGTGTCACTTGCTTCAGAGAATTTACCAGAGTCCTTCTGTAAAAACTTGCTCACCCTTTCCTTTGTCACCAGTCACAACTCCTCTCCCAGACAAATCAGAGAGAGCAGTGGACAGGTCATTGGCCTATGGCTTATTTTGTGCATGTTCATATTTTAGTTCTAAACATAGACTTCCCAAAAATTCATCCTACATTTAAGATGTGGCCATTTTCATTAAGAGGCCTCATGAATTTGGGGAGATGTCCAAGAACACCCAAACTTGCAGATAGTACCCATCTGACTTAGCCTCCTGGCTTGCTAATCAGAACTCAACTAGAGGAAGATAAAAAAGAAAACAATTTTTGATAAAGGAAACAAGTGTGAATTGTTACAATTTGATTAACTTGACCTATACTCATGGAAGTAGTAGCTCTAAATACCAACAGAGAGGGAAGGAGTCTTCACATCAAGTATCAATGCTATCCCCCCTCTACATCCAGGGTAGATAGAGTCGGGCAATTAGACATTGGCTACCAAAATGATGGGGCAATAAAGGTATGAAGTGACTGGCTTACAAGATTTCAAGAGGGAGTTTAGTTTAAGAGTGTGTGGAGCAAGAGAGAGTCCCCACTGAATAGTTTTCATCTTGTCTAGATGGGTCTGGTTAAAAGAGAGGGGGATACAATTCTTATGATTCAATAGTGAATAATTATTATCATGACTAATTGCGACTCTCACAATTGTAAAGGTAGAAGTTTTATAACAAAAAAAAAAATGGGGGAATATTTAATCTTACAGTCCAGAAAAAGAGGACCCTAGGACCATCAAGGGTGGCAAGTACAAACGAAATGCAGGACCTTATCCAAAGAAGCAGTAACACCAGAGATGGAGGTAGAGATGAGGACATGGAGAGAGGGAGCTGCTGAAGACTCTAGATTCATGGAAGGAGAGGAACTGATTGCTGGTGGCCAGGAGGCTGACTTGAAGAACATGCCCTTTGGTGGTATAAATTATTATATATGCTTGAGTGTTTAAACTTTCACTCAATTCCCAATAAAAACTTAAAAAAAAAAAAAGGGGGGGGTAGGTCTCATGAATTCACCCTAAGGATAATATTGTCTCCGTTATCTTAGAACTTCCTGTCAACTGTAGAAAGCTTCCTGTTCTTGCCTTTATCTCACTTCTGTCTGCCAAGTAATTCTGACTTTCAGTTTATACCCATCTCTTCCTGTCCTTTAGATTCAGGCCCTACTTACCATAGTAAATGCCAAAGAGGGTTGCAGCCCCCACGAAGGCGCCTAAGAACTGGGCTCCCATATAAAAAGGCAATTTGTACCATTTCATCCGTCCAAAAAGACACATTGCGAAAGAGACAGCTGGATTAATGTGGCCACCTGCAAGGAAGCAAACATGATTGGAGTTAGTACAGGAAGTAGAAAAATTCTGAAGAAAATCTTATCTATAGACATCAGGCAGAAGTCAGTCTTCTGGGAGAGATGGTCTATGAGGAGAGTCTTGTGAGGGAGGGAGGACTGATATTCCCCGTGGCATCATTAGACATCTGCAGCTTTCTGAAAAGAGGATCCAGGGTAGAAAGATACTTGCTTTGGCCAAGTGTCCCACAGGTTGAGTCTTGCTTAGAGCAACCATTATTGGAGAACAAGGGGAGCATAAGAAAATACCTCTTATCAAAAATACCTTTACTCAGCTGACTCCACCAATGGGAGATTGCTTTGTTTAACAAACACTTCTTTCAAAATAAAAAGTTTTGTAGGAACCTTAGCAAGCCATGTGGTTCACACTAACCTTGCAGTCCAGCACATTAACCAAAGTGCCACACCACGACTCCCTTAGCTATATTGTTGTTGTTGTGAAGTGCCGCGGAGTTGGTTCTGACCCATAGCAACCCTGTATAGGGTTTCCAAGAAGCAGCTGGTGAGCTTGAACCACCAACCTTGCAGTTTGAATGGCTTTGTAGTCTGGCACATTAACCCACAGAGCCACACCAGGACTCCTTAGCTACGTTAGCTACATTAGTACTACTGAAATACAAATAGCACAACTGGGTGGCTGTAAAGAATGGAGATTTATTTTTTCACTGTTTTGGTGGTTAAAAGTCCAAGTCAGGGTCTTGGCCATGTTGATTCCTTCCTTGTTCGTAGTCCCAGGCACTCCTTAGTTCCTTGGCATGTCGTGGCTTGAAAACACTTCTCACACAGCATCTGTCTTCCCCTGTGTGTGTATCTATTCTGGACTTTTTATAGCTCAGAAATGATTAGGTTTAGGACCTACCCTATACTGGTATGGCTTCATAAACATAACAAATAAAACCCTATTTTCAAACAGGATCACATCCACAGACAAGGTCTAGGAATTCAGCAGAAACTGAGTTCAATCAATAACAGTAGGCTTAGCATTTTCGCCCCTATGACAGTGAGCATGCTGAGGCTGGACCTCATATGATACCAAGTCCTTAGGTGTTTGATATGGGAATGTTGAAGAACTAAGTGACTAGAGGCCTGTAGTCAAACTGCCCAGACCACAGAGATCTATGGAGAAGGACAGTTGTCTGGTGTCAGAAAGAGTGGGTCCGGAAAGGTGCAAAGTAGTGAGGGGTGGCAGAGGGGCTCAGCAATGAGGCAGTGCAGTGACACCCTGATGTCTCTGGTGAAGGTGTCAACTGGCTACTAGAAAAAATTCCCTGCAGAAGCGAGATGTCACTCCTGGGTTATCACAAACACAAAGCATTACAGTGGAAATCACATAGGTATTCTAGCCAGAGAGTTCTGTAGTCCCATCCTGTCTCTGCCAAGATTATTCATGTGAAAAGCCTGGGGGTGCAGCTGGTGCCCCTGAGACCTTGGATGAAAAATCTTGTGGGAACAGGATGCACTCTTGCAAAACTTGATCTAGACAAGACCCTTCTCTACTCTTCATTCATAGACAAGTTTGTGGTTGAGATAACCTTCAAATATTATTTATAATTAAGCAAGAAGAGGTTTTTTTGTATGTTTGTTTGCTTTTTTTTGCCTTTTCAAAGGATTTATTTTACTTGTATAATGTTATATCAACAACACTTGTAATCTAGGTACAAGTTGACGACATTAACACTTGGGGTGGAACACAGTAGAATTCAGGTGTTCTGAGTTCTGGATGGCTGGATTTGATTACCAGACTACTGGCACATTTTTAAAGAGCATGGTGTGATAACATCCTTACAGTAAGGTAATGTATTATGTTTGAAAACCAAATGCCAGCTGACCTCACCAGTCTGTGACCACAAAATAAGATCACATTTCTACTTATGAACAATACGCACCAGTTATTTTTGGAATCTTTAAAGAGGGCTTCACATGTGCCAATAAATGTTAGCTGCAGCTACTATGAGATAGGAGTTCTCATGTGGAGCTATTAGATTAGCAAGCACTGGCCTGCTGGGTCAAACCCAGCAGTCATTCCTTGGAAACCTTATACGGTGTCACTAAGAGTTGGAACCAACTCAATGGCACTTAACAACAACAGTCATGATATAGCCCTCTTCCACACACAAATCTTTCTCTTCTTTCCCAGTGACTGTTGAGGTGGATACTGGTGGGTATCACCATTAGGCCCATGATATTGCCCCCACGTGTTCCCAAAGCCATCAATCCCTCATAGGATAGTGCTACATTCTAAAAGGGGGAGAAGGGCTCCCTTTCCAACCCAATGTCACATTTTACTATTTGGAGTCCTACTGTCTCTTATAAACAATTCAGTCGGCTTGTGTCCCTAACCCCAAATATATCCTCCAGTGAAAATGGTACCATCCGTCAGTCTGGCCTCTGCCCCTCTAATCATAGGGGCTTAAACGGAATTCAGAGCCCTGCAGGGAAGACCCCATGCCCTCCTCTTCTGGGCTGCTCTCTTTCCTGCTAGTCCCTGCCCTCTGACCTGCTAGCATGACTACAGAAATCCCTAGGTTATGTCAGAGGATGTAAACAGATGGTCAGTGATGGTGATAAAGGGTATGAAGTAATTGGTGTGGTCTAAGGGAACATTTAGCAATATTTCATTCAGGGTGTTGTACCGGAGAAACACTGCCAAACCACTTCCCCACCTGAAAGCACGCCTGGTTTGTGGTGGTCACACTGGAGCAAATGCAGTGGGGGCCTACGTGAGAAGCAAGTGAGGATCCTGCACATTGTTGTTGTTGTCATCGAGTCAGTTCTGACTCATAGTGACCCTGTATAGGGTTTCCAAGGAGCAGCTGCTGGGTTTAAACCTCAGACAGTGCTGTTAGCAGTCCAGTGCTTATCCTACAGTGCCACAGCAGAAAATTGTTATAAACCAGTAGTGTATTCTATGTCTGGTCTGAAGTCTACACGCTAAACCTTGGCCCATTCAGGGCGCATCCATTGCACACACATTCTTGGGCCTCACTACTAGTTTGCCTTTCAGATGGAGGGACAGTGCTGAGATCACAAGCTGAGTGACCGTGTAAGTGGAAGCGCCACTCTTGCAAACAAGTCATGTATGTTTACAGGGTCCAGTGTCATCGAACACGCCCTAGAATACGAGTCCAGCACCACCGGTGCTCTGTTGGAGGAGGCTCCCAGGAAGTCTAGGCTACCATTCTTCGGCACCCTGCTGGCAGCATTTCTCACCAGGCTGAGCAATTAGCTGCACAATCTTCTCTTGGTGTAGTTCTTCCCAAAGCCTCTTCCTGTCATGTCCTCCCTTCATGGATCATGTCTGTGTTGTGTAATAGTGGGGCCAGGAACCGTGCTGTCTTTATGACCTGGGTTAAAGCTTTGCACTGCATCTTTCCCAGATGGGGGACTTCTCCCAATGTACTTAATCCTCCACCTGCTCTGTTTTACTCTGGAAAATGGAGCTAACCATACCCACCTCAGAGTGCTGTCGCTGGCAAAGGAGAACGGAAATCAAGTGTGAGTACCTAGTACAATGTCCAGCATAAAATGTTGCTCAGGAAGTTTTGAGACTATGGGTGGTGGAAATGGTTAATGCACTCAGCTGCTAACAGAGAGGTTAGAGGTTTGAGTCCACCCAGAGAGGTACCAAGAAAGAAAGGTCTGGAGAGCTACTTCTGGAAACTCAGGCATCGGAAGTCCTGTGTAGCATGGTTCTGTGTATTCATCAGAAGTGCTGTGTAGCACGGTTCTACCCTGATGCACATGGAAGCCCCATCATGGAGTCAGAATCAGCTGGATGGCAACTGGAGTAGTTCTTCCCTGATCTCCAACAGGCTACTGAGAGATTCAAAGTACCTTTGGTAACTGAGCATTTCCACACTCTTTTTCCTCAGTTCCCAGATTGCATTAAATATCATCATTCCATTTGACTTTTCAGCCCATCATCTCTCAGGGCAGAATTAAACCAAGACCATCTGTAAGAGAGCTGCACTTCCATGAAAGGCTCGGTCACTTTCCAAGAGCTCTAGCTTGTCTTTGATTGATGTGGATAAAGGTCCAGGGACTTGTTTCTGTGGAGTGACCGTCACAGTGCTATTCATGGGGTATTTGAGAGTTTGCTTCCAAATATGGAGCAGAATAAGTTAAATATTGTATTGAATGATGAAGACTATGATGCACTGGATAGCCTTAGGAACAAGTTAGTGATAAATTCTCAATACCCATCTCTTTGTTGTTGTTGTTGTTAGGTGCCATCAAGTCAGTACTGACTCATAGAGACCCTATGCACAACAGGACAAAACACTGCCCAATCCTGGGCCAGCATCACTATTGTTGCCACGCTTGAGCCCATTGATGCTGCCACTTTGCCAATCCATCTCGCTGGAGGTCTTCCTGGTTTTCTCTGACCCTCCACCTTACCAAACATGATATCCTTCTCCAGTGACTGGTCCCTCCTGACAGTATGTCCAAAGTATGAGAGACGAAGTCTGGTCATCCTGGCTTCCAAGGAGCACTCTGGCTGTACCTCTTCCAACACAGGTCTATCTACTTCTTGCTAAATGTTGGACAAGTCACTTACTATTTGTTAACCATTTAAATTTTTATCATCTATAAAAAGGGATCAAATACATATTCTTGTAGTATTGTTGAGATCTTGATAGACTGAGGTCTGTTAAGCACTTAGTACCTTCTTTGTAAATGTGTTTCTTGTTGTTGTTAACTGCCATAGAGTCAATTCCAGCGCACAGTGACCTTGTATGGGGTTTCTGAGCAGCAGCTGGTGAGTTTGAACTACTGTTCCCACAGCACTATAACAGGACCCCTGTAAATGTGTTGTTGTTGTTGTTGTTAAGTGCCGTCAAGTCGGTTCCGACTCATAGCGACCCTGTACAGGGTTTCCGAGGGTGTAAATCTTTACGGGAGTAGAAAGCCTCATCTTTCTCCCGCG